CTAAAGCTATTATAAGTTCATTCATAGGCTATAAATAAGTATAGCAGTCATTAGCTATTATTGATATTTATATTTTTCCACTATTTTAGCTTTTAAAATTATAAGACTTAGATACCTTAAAAAACTTTATATATATATATATATCTTTTTAAAATCATAATATAATCACTTCTAAAGCTATAAATTTAGTATATAATTAAAAATCATATATAATTTACTTCTATATTATTTTGAAGCTTATAGCTAAGAAAAGCAATCAAACCTTTTTTTCTTTTTTCAATAATAAAAGATTTGGGTAATGAACTAGAGATAAAAATAAGATAAAATCTATATAATACTAAGGTTGATGCTCTATTAGAAATTTAAGTTTTTAGCTCTACTAGTTTATTTTTCTAAGTACTTATATTATATAGCTTTTCTTTCTATCAGAACTACTAATAACTTAGACATAGAATAAGAAAGTGAGGGCTTAATAGTAGTAGTAGGTAGTATTATATTCTAAGATAAATCCTTAGCCTCTTTCTTATATAGGCTTAAGGCTTATATACTATAAGCTAGCTAAAAAGCTCTTAACTAAGCCTTTCCTTATGGCTAAAAATATAGTTTTCAATAATATTTTCTTTTTTACAGTATCACTCTTTTAGCTATACTTAAGTAGTCTTTATATAAGTAAAAAATGTAATTTATTTTAAATTGAAGTAACTTAAACCGAATTATGTAATACTATACTATATTATATAGTAGTATTTTTACACTATATTAGTAAAGTTCTTTTTAAGTAATTGTTATAAGTATAAAAGAGTAGTAGAAATTATAAAATATACTACTGTTACTAGTAAAAGTAAAAGTCTTGTATATATATTAGTAGTATGCTAGCGTAGCTACTTAGCGCTTAAGCGTTTAGTAGTAAAAAAAAGCTATATATTTGTCAGATAAGCGGCAGAATCCGGGTGCGGACTCGAGCACCAGGATTCTGTGATCCTAGCCAATCAGAGTCAAGCGCCAAGCCCACCCTAGGTAGGGCCGATACATGAGACACAACTGATACCACTGGTGTCGCAGCGACAGCGCTCATAAGGCGGCGCTCCTGCGCGCCGCTGGCGAGGACAGAACAATCAATACAATCAATTTCTCCCATCAATTATCGCAGCTATTCCTCACAGTGACTTAAGTCTATCCTTGATTAGAAAACACCTCACAGTCTGACAAGTATATTGTTCTTAGGCTATTTGTGTTGTTCCTAGATAGAATGCAACCCCTACTCCTACACCTTTGCCTTGCTTTGT